CAAAAATTGGCCTGCATGAGTTACGCGTCTTGAATTTGAATACAAATCTCAGAGCTCGTCTTTGAAGGACGAAAACACCACATGACCACCATGACAGCTACATCCCCAGAATGGAATTCCATACCTCAGATGCGATTCAATAAGTGAGTAGCTTGTAATCCAAGTTCACGGGATATCATATCGATTCATTGATTGCGAAGGATATTTTTTTTAAGAGCTGATATATTATTATGATGGTCAATCTTCAAATTGTGTGAACACCAAGTTCTCAATGAGTTGATCTCCTAGCGTAATATGTGCAACCTCAGACTTGAATGTCACTAAATTAGTCTCAGAAACATTAAGAGTTAGCATATAAGCTTCACACCAACTCTTAATTTTTTCAACGTCCACTGAAATAGACTGAGCCAAACTAGCTCGATCTTCGTTATGCCAGAGAATCGTGGTATCATCTGCAAATAGAGTCAGGTGCCCAGAAATATCTAGACTATAACCATATCGTTGATATAAATCAAGAAGAGAATTGGGCCTAGAACTGACCCCTGAGGGACCCCCTCGTAAAACATGACCTTTATCGGAAGTCTTTTTTGACAATGATACTCTTTGATTTCTGTCAGTGAGAAAAGATCTGAACGAGTCTAAAGGTGCACCACGAATACCGTAATGAAAAAGCTTTTGCAACAGAATTTCATGACTTACACAGTCGAAAGCCTTAGAAAGGTCAAGAAACACTGCTGCTGCAGCCTCTTCTCCATCCAAGCTCAAGTATACTTTTTCGAGAAAATTGAAAATAGCATCATTGGTGTTTTTTTTTTCATTTTGAAAATCAAACTGTTCTTGCGCTATTTTATTATGTTGGTCTAGGAAGCCAAGCATTCTCAGTTCCACAAATTCTTCAATAATTTTGGGAAGTGTTGAGAGCATGGAAATTGGTCTGAAGTTGTCAGGATCGTCAATAGCACAACTGCAGACTTTAGGCTAGTAGGAAAGATTCCTGTAGCGAATGAATTATTCATCGCCAATACCAAAGCGCTCATCAGAGCTTCCTCTGGTAAATGCGAAATCAACTTTGCTGACAAGTTGTCATCACCTGAAGAGTTTTTATTTTTCATTTCGCTGATTACTAGCTCAATTTCCTCTAAATCTGTCTCATACAGTAAAAAAGACTCTATCGGTGATACCATTTTCTTCGTATTCACAAGAAAAACCTTAATACTGTCAATTAGAATTTTGAAGGTGTGGATGATTTGAATAATAAAAATATACGTTTAAGTATACTTTTTCAGTCATCAAATCATTGGTATGAGAGGGCATAGTTTGAAACAAAAAAAGTTGCTTATATTATTGATGTGGGTTGATACTTACTTGAAGTTGAAACCACCACGACTAATAAGGATACGAATAAAATGACCTGAAAGAAAAACATTTTCACTCAGACAATTACTTTGATATTGCTTCCGGATAAAATATAACAGTTATTGTTTATTATACAAGTGAATGAAGTTGTAGCCTTCAGCTGAGATGAAAAACCGTGAGCTAAAATCCAATTTTTTTTCCGTGTATTCATTTTATTCAGTGACAGGAAGAAGGAATCAAAATTGAGAAGATATCAGAGTGGAATTTTTTTTGCGTTGCATCTATTTGCAGGCATTTTTATCGTTCCTTTGATGTAATCAAATTATCAGTATAATTCTATGATTTGATTTTCAAAAATTACGAACTTAGTGGTTGTTCAGTAATTAACAAAATGGAATGGAAGATGAAAGGACTTGCAGTTCTTTCTTGAAGATGGTGTTATTGGCTTATTTCTCGAGATGAGCACAACAAAATCCATCAACAGAGTATACAGGGTGATTGACGATGGTAGGCACATTAGACGACGTTTCTGGAGAACGTAACTTGGGATCATTCTGAAAATTTAGTGCCTAGGATAATTAGTATTAGCACTGCTCGGTATAGGGTTGACAGAACAGAATCAGTCCCTCTGAAACCTTGCACCTTCATTAACACTCAATACAATGTATTCTTTATAACGCTACAAATAAGAATGAATCAACCTAAATGCCTCCTGATCGGATACAGTCATTTGTAGATAGGTGACTAAACCCTATGTAACCACTAACTGTAGCTCTGTGCTTCTAATGGTACAGGGCGTCCGGCATCTGGTTAGTCGCTAAAATTTGTTATGCTCTATCGACCTAACATGTTCTCAGGCGATCTTGCCGCTCATATCGAAAAGTAGCAACAACTTTGATTTTTTCAATGGAACACCCTTTATATCATTCCATTTTCAGATTCTTCCTGGAGATCTGATTCTATCGATTTATCACACTTGGGGTCTAGCGGGAATGATAGGAAAGATATAGGGTGTGAAGAATCGAAATTTTTCAACTATAAGAATTTCATGTATCGAAACTATTCATAATTGATCACAACGGTCAACATGTCCCTACCTTAACTTTTCATGTACTATCAAATGATATTTAATTGAAATAGATACAGGGTGGTCAAAAATCTTAATTCTGAACCACCCTGTATTTATTTCAATTAAATATCAATTGACATGAACACTCGAGATAGGACCATGGAAACTGTTTTGATCGATTATGGATAGTTTCGACACAATAAACTCTCAAAGTTAAAAAAATCTCGCTTTTTGACACCCTATATCACTGTTATAATTTCCGCTAGACCCCAAGTGTGATAGATCGATGGAATCAGCTCTCCTGGGAGAATTTGAGAATGGGATGATATGCAGGGTGTTCCTTTGAAAAAAACGAAGTTGTTGCTTCTTTTCAATATAAGCGGCAACGTCGCAGCGCTTAATGTGCCATCCACTGTGAATCACCCTGTATATACATCTGGAAAGAAAGAACTCACTTTTCTTCAGCGGGAAAAGAGTGAATTATGAAATTATGTAACCTGTCATCTGAGATGTAATTTCAAACTTTGTTGCCTCGTCACAGAAAATTCATAAATAAAGTTAATTTTAACGATTCTTCAAAAGTATCTGAGAAAATCAAATATTTGTTAGAAAAAAACATTACTATAATTCTTGATTATATACACTAGTAATAATATAAACTTACCAACATATTCATGATTCTAAACAACGAATATCTTGACTTGAAGGCAATGACTATAAGGTAGGTACTCTTTTTTTCATTTTTATACCATTTTGGAATATTATCTTGAGCTATAAACCTTTTATTTTAAAAACTGGAAACATTGAGAAAATATATCACGGAGTTCTATTGTGTGAATGTCACGATTATATACAGGAAGTTGAAATATGCAGATCTAGCTACCAACTATAATAATTATTGATATGGTGATTTTTGTGTCAGATTATAGTCGAAGTCGGGTCGAAAGAAGATTTCAAAATTTTTCATTCTGATTTATTTATTTATTTAACTTATTTATTGTGGAATAAAAACAGGACTTGCCCAAATAAAATGCATGCTCTGAGTGGGTATATAGTTACAATAAGGAATATAAATCATATCAAGATGATATGAGAATAAGAAGAACACTCAAAAAACAATTATTGGGGGTTACAACTTGACAAATATTCAGTTTTTTTGTATGTTCTGGTTCCAGCCATTCGCCTGGTGGGTGACGCCAGATCAATCCAAATCTATAGGGGGATAATTATTATAATAATCAATTTTTATTTTTCAATATTTCTTAATTTTCAAAATAAATAGTGCAATTTGATGGATGATTCTGAACATACATACTTAATACTGCAACAAACTAAGTTAAACTTTTATATTCCATCACCAACCACTTATATTTTGCGCTCTCATCATATTTCTTCGTTTTTTCCGCACTAGTGCTGGAAATACTCAAGACCCATCTGGAGAATGGTGGTTTTAATCGAATCTGTACTCAGATTAAGAATTTAGGGATCATTTTTGGTATATCTATAAGTGAAAGAATATTTTAGTGGGGCGAAGGTTTATGTTCAGGCCTTAGATTTTGGGATTCTTCCATGTTAAGATCAACATAACCCTAACCTAAATATACCCTCGATTCACGTGAATCAAGACACAGCATATATTTCCGAGAAAGATAATGAGAAAACGGGAAAACGCTGAATTCGTTTATCTGGTTTCAAAACTATCCCAGACAAGGCTCAGACTTGTTTCGGATTGAATTTGATGCGCACCTGATTCTGCGCAGTCCAAGGACCGTTTCAACAATTTGGAACACGAACAAACCTATTATAAAAAGGGTCCCAAATCACTGAGCGGAATGTCAGAACGCTATTAATATTGAAATCATTTTATTCATTCCATGTACATTGTGTAGTTTTATCATGATGAGTTCAGCAATTCTATCTGAACTCCTATGTTCTCAAATTATTTGATTAAGTCTTTAGATAAAGTATATACGTTCTTTGCCCTCTTTGCTCTATGATATTTGTAGAGATGTAGATGAACTCCATTTGGAATAACAAATGAGACATAAATAGATAAAATATTCATATGAAATTTAATTCCATGTACGATGTCTCATCTACCAGGTTTCTCAGATTGGTTTATAGAAGGGAGTAAATTTCTTGAAATCAGTCATTTTTCATTATGAATAGGTGTTACAGATGTTTCTCATAACTGAACTACCACATTCAAAGAAAAGTGTTGTGCTTTCCTTATATATATAACTTTACTACTTACTGTTCATACAGCACTACTGTTTGTTGGAAATACTTTTCTGTTCTATTCTATTTCATTTGAAGTTTCCATGAAAATGGACCTATAATCATATTTTGGTTCGCATTTTTTAATTGAGATTGATATGTTTTCTCATTCAACGTCTCGCCATTTTCTGTGAATTCTAGTCTAAAGCAAATCACACGTGTTCTTATCAGAAAAGATGGCATTAAATGTATTTAACTTTTACGATTGAACATATAGACAGGAAGATTCGAATTCAAATACGTCTACTTTCTTCACAAACATGTTGGCAATAAATTATATGGAAAATGATAAAGTGGTGTCATTTAGTGATGGATTTGATTCTTGTAGAGATGAAAGTGAAAGAAGATAGAATCATCTGATTCATTTCTCCTGAATGATATTTTTCCATCAAGTAATCAGGTAGGCCTTAATATTAAACACATATTACTTTATCTCCAATATTCAAATACTCCAATATCAAAATGTCATTGACCTCGAACAAATAATTCGAACTATTTCAGAAATATTTTTACTTCTCATCTATTTTGATAACTGCTACGATGTACTACTAACATTATTTCTATGACTGATTGAGAATTGATCTAAATGTTGAAGAACGAAGAACCTGAAGATCCTGAACAAATATCTTGAGTTTACCAACCAAACTGAATACTGACAGAGCTAAAAAAGTGTACAGACGCTTAATCTTTCTGAACGTTTCAACAACTAGTTCGAATAAAGGAATTTAACACATATTTTGTTCTCAAAATGAGGGAAATTCCTGGAAGTATCCCAGCGAGCACAAACATCCCTGGGATGTTTTGGGATGTTTTGAAAATGTTGGCATTGAGACTTAATATGCGCTGACCAAAGAGGTCTTTGATGGATATTGAAGTATTGTTTTTGTTCTTCTGTGGCATTTCTTTGTTTGCCTACTGAGAGGTATCCCTGGGATGTTTTGGGATGTTTTAGAAATGTATGCATGAGGATGTTTTTTGAGGCGTAATATGCACTTCCCAAAGAAGTGTTAGAAGGATATTGAAAGTATTGTTTTTGTTCTTTTGTGGCCTTTCTTTGTTTGCCCCACCACAACGTCTCATGCTTACGTCACAATACGATGAATTCTGATTTGTTTTCGATTTTGTTCTTCTTGTTCGCAATTGGCATTTGCGTTTGCAGCGTGTCACGCTTACATCACGCTGCTAACAAACAGAAAGGCATTTGGTGAAGTTTATTGTGTTAGAAGACTTATTGAGTTTGTAATGATGACCATCAGATGCAAGATGTGGTGTTCGGTGCCTCAGTGTAATCAATATATAAAAGTACGAATTCATCAATACACAGCTTCTCCGCAGTTGCAAAATTATGCATTGTGGAGAACATTTCAAAAATTGGGAATCCTATTTCCAATTATATGTATATGATTAAGAAGGTAATTTCATGTCAAGAAAATATTTTTATATTCAATCTATTTTTAATGCATTTTTTCATTCAAGGGAAATGGGATCCTAATGCAAAAGCTCATTTTGACAAAAGGTTTCAGAAAAGTACCTACCTCGAAAATGTTTTTTTTACAGCGATTCAATGTGCGCAAGACGCGTTGAAAATGGTTTGTTGTGTCCATGAAAAGCCTTTGAAAAGAATTAGGGAGAAGGTAGTTTTGTGACATATCAAGGACATCTCGATAATTGCCGCCTGCGGCGGACATTGGCTGTTCTATAATAGTTCTATTCATGTGTGAACAGAACATCGCAGTGGAGGTTCAATGTCTCGAAATCTCGTACTTTTAACATCTCAGACTGATGTTTTTGTGCTCGCTGGGATGTAGCTACTTATCACTCATCAGCGTGATTGAATATTGAGAACAAAATAAAGTATTCGTACCTATACCATACCAACCCAATGAAAATTCCATAACTTCGAGGCCTGTGAAAAACGTTTTATAAGTGATATTCTATATCTTTCAGATCTTCAATCATAAGATGATTATACCAGTCATTCTGCTACTGACATCGATATTACTATATATCTATGTGTATATATTCAAACCCCTTTGTTACTGGAAAGAGCTTGGTGTTGATCAAGACGATCCATGGGAGTTGCTAAAAAGTGTTCTTCTAACATTCTACAGCGTGATTTGGAAACGTGAGGATCCTTTGGTATCAGTGAGAAGTCGATATTCTAAATTTCCCGGAAAAAGGTGAGGGCAGAAAAACTCCATCAGTACCTATACATTAATTTTTCACTAGCAGACTTCGCAAACGTCGTATTGCTATATATACATGAATTCTATAATATATTTTTTCAGACAGTATTATTATTTCATTTTCTATTTCTTTTTAGTTTCAATACCTTTGAAAGTGTGTTTCTTCAGTTTTTCAAACTACCATTTATTTATACTTCTTTTTAGTTCATTTGAATTTTCCAATTTTGACGAAAGAAACATAATGATATCCGACTCCTAAAACCCCAGATGAAAATTTTGAGCAGAATCGGAATATAATTACAAAACCCATCCGCAATATTGGATCTACCATCTTAATTTCCTAATTTGGACGAAGGAATCATAATTTTTGATCCAGAAAACGCCTACTTTCAAATTTTGAATTGAATCGGTTTATAATTACAAAACTCGTTCGGTATATTGGTTCCATCGTCTTGAATTCCCAAATCCCGGCCTTTCCAAATTTTGACGAAAAAATCATAATCTCCGATCACGAAAACACCCAGATAACAATTTTGAAGAGAGTCGGATCATAATTACAATACTCGTCCGCCATATTGGGCCCGCCATCTTGAATTTCCTTTGAAATGAAGATGTCAACAGGTTGAAGACCAAGCGGTTGGTATATTTGTACAGGGAACGATAACATATAACTTAAAACCGAAGAAAATCAATCAACATTATTCATAAACCTCAACTTTTGAACATTTCGAATAGATGGAGGCTAATACATAAATCAATATCTCATAATACCATATAACTTCCCTATCAATGTATGGACAACTCGTCCTATTTATAACTTCGCAGATGAGTAATCCCCATAATATGTCAATGAAGATCTTGCTGAAATCACAGCCTGGGGAACCAACAACCTAGTCGAATTCAACGAATAATCAATTCAGATCCATCGCGAAAGCTGCTTCACAAAAACTCGGATTCTTGTTCCGTGCGAAATAGTTATTTACTCAACTTGTGCAGAAAGCACTACTTTTTGTGCACGCTACGGCAGTCGCACGAACAACGCGGAGCGGAGTTCGGGAAGGTCGACAATAGCAGAAAAGAGATTTTCCGCAAGAGCTAGGTACAAAGTTTTTCCTACGAGTGTTTTTGTCAACAATACAAAAATCGTGCGGGAAAGTAATTCTTCAGCACGATATTTTCATGCGCTGAAAAATAATGCAATAGATTTTTTTTTAATCGATATGATAAGAAACTTATTTGAAGAACATATAAATAATAATAACTAAAACATTAACGATGGTAAATATTGAAATTGAAAGTGCAATTCGTGTTTGTTGCATGCTGTAATATTGCAGATGCCGCAACATCTTGAACAACGTCGTTTATTATTTGAATTTGATTGGTTAGTGTTTGGCCCACTACAGAAATGCTTTGATCAGATTGTTGCTGAGAATTATTACTATACCTTTTCAACTTCAATTTCGGAATCGGCAAATTATATTTCGGAAAAAGTAATCTCGATTTCAGAATTGGTTAGTTTGATTTCAGAAATGGTAAACTCAATTTCAGAATCGGTGAGATGAGTTTCAGAGAAAGTCATTATCCAGAACTACCACTATGGTATCTCCAGGATGTCCATTTCGAAAGCACACTCTCAAACACCGTTTCATCCACTGTTAACAATCTTTTCTTCTGCAGTTGAAACAGTTCTATCATATATAAGGATTCATCTTCTGAAATTGAACCTACCAATTCTGAAATACAACTCACCGTTTCTGAAATTGAATGGACTTTTTCTGAAATTCATCTCACCGATTCTGAAATTGAGTTTACCATTTCTGAAATAGAACTAACCAATTCTGAAATCGAGATTTCTTTTTCCGAAATATAACTCACCGATTCCGAAATTGAAGTTGAAAAGGTATAGTGTAGTGAATGGAGGATCGTAGATTAGTCTGAAATGCTCATTTGTTGACTGCCACTACTGTCAGTTTATAGCGACTGTTGCTATCGTTTCGTTCTGGTGCCAACAGTTATCACCACAGTTCTCCTGGTATTTACTTCGAAATCGTGAGGAAAAGTAAAAATAATGCAGAAAAGTAAAATCGTACGGAAAGGTAACAACTCTCAAAACGAAAAATCATGCGGAAAAGTTTCCTTTTACGATTTGATGACATGTATTTCTGAGTCTATAGTAATGGACCATAGTGTCTGGAACTGATTACGTACCCAATATTGTGAGAAGGATATTGAAATAGTTTTACTCTATAGTCTAGATCATCAAATCCACTTCAAAAAAACATTGATTTTTACCTATGCCAAAATGTGATGTATGTTTTCAGATATTATGGAATTTATGAATTGACTTCTCCTGGTCTGATGCTCAGGGATCCAGACCTGGTCAGTCAGATGCTGGTTACTGATTATGTGCATTTCAATGATCATAGGGTACTCATACACGATGATCTTGATCCACTATTCACGAAATGCATTTTTGCACTGAAAGGTAAGGTACTTTATGCACAAGCATTACTATTAATTTGTTGCTATCAGGTACCTAATTTTTGTATTTTCTTATAGTAAATTAGTGTTATTGGTATTGTTTTACTCCTCCTTATGAAAAAATCAGAAGACATATTCCTTCGATTCGAACATTTTCATATGAATAATCCACAACCCATTATTAAAATGATCTTTTATTGAAACAACTCTACGATTCGGTCATCCGAGGAAGTATTCATGAATGGTTTGACTCTTACCTCAAAAATCGCACTCAGAGCGTAAAGATATTCCATGAAGTAGACAGTGATCAAACTCATTTCATATCATCCCAATTACATAAAGGAATAGGCGTACCACAGGGTTCTGTGTTGGGACCTGTCTTGTTTATTATTTATATAAATCAATTACCTGTAGTTTCACTTGAGGCCTATTCTTGTCTATATGCTGATGACTCGACACTTTTATTTAAAGGAAGGGATGAGTATACTCTAAAAACCACTATTCACTCCAGTCTCCAAAATCTCTCCTGCTGGTTATCAAATCATTCTCTATTCTTCAATCCATGCAAAACCTCATGCATGCGATTTCAAATACGTCGAAATGATAGTGAGCATAAGCTAGATATTCAAGTCAATGATAAGGTTATAGAAGCATCATACTGTGTGAAATTTTTAGGGCTCTCTTTGGACAGTAACTTGAAGTTCACAACACATTGTGATAATCTCATGAAAAATTTGAATACGAAATGCTACCAGATTAGGATTTTGAGAACTGTTTTGAACAAAGAGGCACTATTATTATTTTACCATGGTCAAATTCAGTCTCTATTGATATACGGCATTTTGATTTGGGGTATAGTTCATCTTCTATGAAATATGTTTTCATAACTCATAAAACAATGCATTGCCAGTGCTTCTATGAATACTTCCTGTCGAGGTTTATTCAGAGAATATAATATGGTTTATACATTATGGAATTACTAGTGTATAAACATAAAAATGTTGATCGATTTGCAAAAAATGAAACCGAACATAATTATGAAACTAGGATAAAGAAACATCTCGAACTATGCCCAAAAATCGTTTGTCATTTTGTCGAAAATCTTACCAAACCATCGGTCTCAGACTATATAATATATTACCTGAAGTGTACAAATTGTTGAGGAAATTGAAACGATTCAAAATGAAGATTAAATCTGTGATATTGACGATAGTCCCATATAGTATTGAAGAGTTCATTGATTATTTCAGATAAGGCTTGTTCAATGTCAATGTAGCTCAATTATGTTTGTTTTGCTTCATACCATTGTGAATATTTTTATCTGCAATTCCTGTATGAGTTGTTTCATGACTTGTCCCATAACTTGTATGTGGACCAATCTTCTATTAGCTAACTACCCAAGTATTCACCGTACCCCAATATTCTCTCTTGAAGTTCAGCCTTCTGATGAGTTTTTTCACTGATGTGTTTATTCATTTCCATCTCAAAGTAAGTAGGTTCTGAATCTCCTAGTTGAACAGGTAGATCTACCTGCCTCAATAGAGCGTACGGTCGTATTCAATAAAAAAGCGTGAAGTATTGAAAAGAGAGGATTTCGGGATCCTAGTTCTAGTTGTGTGAAACTGGCTCAGCCAATGCTTTGTAATTTCGAGAACCTATGACAACTTTACTGTTAACATTTATGCAGAATAGGATGACGTTAATTTCTCTCTGTAATATACTTGTACGATTTTTTTTTCAATGCGACAGTAACTGTTTTCCATTTGTAGGTGAAGAGTGGCAAAAAATAAGGAAAACTGTCACTCCATCCTCCACCAGTAGCAAAATCAAGACACAGGTTGACACTCTGAGCGAATACTCTCAGAAATTTGCTGAGCACCATCTGAGGCCTGATGGAGAAATTGTTGAAATTGAAATGAGAGACGTGACCACTCGCTTCTGTAACGACGTTTCAGCTAAGTTATCATTCGGCATCAGTATCGATTCTTTCGCTGAGCCTGACAACGAATTTTGGCGAATGTGTCACAGAGCTGTTGATACGATAAGCATGAGAAAAGTGCTGTCTTTCACTGTGTATCTGATAGCACCAAAGCTGGTCAAGGTCAGTGACTATATCAGTATCATACAGGGTGGGTCAGTTTTCTGTAGCAGGACATCAACAGCTTGAAGGAGACATAAACATATATGCGTGGGAGCTTCGTTTCCGATAAACAGTGGGTTTCAAAGTTTGCGCGACTCTAAAAGTGTATCATCATTTTTGGATAGAAGATAGTACCCTCCAAACCGCCTTCTCTTCCAGGGCTCCAATACCAGCCAGGCAAATCAGAAACGAACGAGGGAGGAATGTTGACAACATAAATATACGGGCTTGACAACAATTCTCGAATTGGGATGCAATAACTTGGTAGCTTACAATGCAAACAAAACACAGGCATGTCTTTTCTCTGGCCGATCTCACTGTGCCCAGCATGAGATTATCAGAAAAAACCATACATTTGAAGACATCCATTTTGATGCTTAGTATTACTATCAGCAATAACCTTTCTTGGGAAAATCATGGGAGATCAATTGCTGAAAGTGCATCCCAAAAACTTGGTTTTCTGTTTCGGGCCAGGAGCTATTTCACTTCCAGTCAGGCACAGATCCGATCTGTCCTGGAAAACTGTTTCCATATTTGGAGTGCAGCACCCAAACATACCCTGAAACTGTTGTATTCTGTCTAAAAAAGGGCCATTCGTCTTGTGCTTTGCTCACAAACTCACTAACTTCTCTGGAACATCGTAGGAAAGTTGGCGATCTGGCTCTATTCCATAGATATTTTCATGGACGAAGCACTTCTGACATATTAACAATTGTTCCTCCCTTGGCAGACACCGCGAGATTAAACTCGTCGAGTTGAGGCTTCGCACCCCTTTGTGGTCACTATGGAGACCTGCAGAACATCTCTTTCCAAAGACTCGTTCATCCAACGAACAACGAGGCTCTGGAACACATTGTCAAGGGAGGTGTTCCCCAAGGCATATAACCTTCAGAAATTCAGGAAGAACACCAATTCCTACCTTATTTCCCTTGGTTCTCACGATATCCCTTTTCGTGGGAACCAGAACAAAAAAAATTATCGGAATCGAAGCTCCCAGGATATATGTTCACATAGAATTTTCATCTTAGGAAATGTCTTCTCTCAACTGCTGAAGTCCTGCTACAAAAAACGGACTCACCCTGTATATGGGAACTATTTATTGAATAATTCAAGCTATATCTGGGTTCTTCAATAATTTGTGATTTTGAAAAAATCCAATGTTGATGAGTTTTCTCAAACGATGAAATACACATTTCTTCAGAAATTTACTAGAAGGTTTCTTCTGGAAACTTCCATAAAAAAATTAAAAATTGGATTCGAACAATTGATATTTTCTTCTCTTTTCCTCTACCTGGAAATGATTGGCTCATCAGAATTTAAAAACATTCAACTATTCGAATTGCTTCAGATTTTTTTTATTAATATTTTGGATTTTTATATTCATTATGTTGAAGAAAATATTTCAATGAATGATTATTTCAGTTTTTGAAAATGAAGATTGTGGACAATGAAGCAGATTCTTTCTTCAGACAAGTGATAAGCGAAACTATGAAAATCAGAGAAGAAGAAAGACAAAATGGTGTCAATGGCTCTGACTTGATACACTTGCTCTTAGAGGGAAGAAATAGAGCTAAGTTGAATCATGGAAAAGTGGCCAAAGGTTCTTATAAAAGTAAGAAATCCCTAATAAATAATCAATTATATCAATTATCGCCCAAGCTCCATAATTATTTATCTATCATCCATAAATAATCAAAAATGAAATACAAATTGAAATAACAGATATGCACAAATTAATAGAGGGTTGTACTAATAAAGGAAAAAGCATATTTGTGCTTCCATGTAGGTATTTTAATACATGTTAATTGACGTTAGTGATGTTAGATTTGTTCCATTGGATATTTGATGATTATTTTTTCTTGTACTTTCGATTCATTTATATGTATTTATTAATTCATATTATTAATGTAGTTCATCTCTGTTATATCAATCACGTGAACTTTGCTCAGTGTATTGATAGGATGAAAAAATAGTCATATATATAATATCCCTGTCAAATCAAATAATAATTCTTCATATTTTCCATAAACAAGTATGTATAATTCTCCTGTGGAATCCATTCATGTTCATTTCTCGATTTATTCTCATTTATATCAAACATCAAACTATACTGAACTATACAGTCCAAAATTCATTCGTACACAGCAGCAGCTACATTTTGCGCATAAAATCCATACTGTTACTGTTTGTCTAGCAGTCTAGCAACTCGCCTAGCCTTAAAGGTTGTCATATAGAAAGTATAGCATACAACTCGAACAAGATGGTAGTTTGGGAAAAGTGTACATAATATACTATCCTCGTTCTCAGGTTATAATGCAGATTGGTCAAACATAGAAATCATTGCTCAGGCTTTTTTCTTCCACTTCGCTTCCTGTGCTCCCGCTCCTACGCTACTGAGTTTCATGGCATACGAGATTGCTGTGAATCCAGATGTTCAAGACAAGCTCCGAAGGGAAGTCTACGATATCCATGACACTTGTGGTGGAAAATTGACGTATGCTTGCACCAACCAAATGGAATACATGGATATGGTTGTTCATGGTGAGTTTCCAACCTTGAATGCATTGAAATAAAACCATATTTCCACTTACAATCACACGAGGGATTTTTGTTTGTCGAAGTAAACTTGATAGATTAGATTAGATTTGGAATGGGGCCTTCGGGCTATCTGCCTCCACACTGCGACCTTTTCAGATCTATTGTGCCTGCCCCCAAAATGGATTAGAGTTCTTCGGCTAGCCCCGCCTTCTCTATGAGACTCCATAGGCTAGCTTTCAGATCTCCTGTGTATCTCTGGGCTCCTGGTTTTTCCTCACCCAGCGTAAGGAACCTTAGTCTTGACAAGCCCTCACAGTGGCAAAGTATGTGTACTGCTGTTTCTTCCTCTTCTTGACAGAACCTGCACAGCAGTTCTTCAGTCAGACCTATCGTACTCATGTGTTTGTTGAGCCTACAATGCCCTGTGAGAAGTCGCTTTAGTATTCTAGTTGAACTTCGTTTCTGGCTCAGTAGATATTCTGTGAATGTTGGCGATGGTATTTTAATAAACTCTTTTGCCTGTCTCATTCCTGGCGAGTTGTTCCACCATTCTTGAGATTTAGTTTGCATCCATGATTTGATACTAGTCTTTTGTATAGCTTTCGCAATACCACAGAAGGGTTCTGGGCCATTAAGAGCTTTGTTTGCTCCTGCTCGGGCAAGTGAGTCTGCCTCTTCATTGCCCTCGTACCCTGTATGTGCTGGTACCCATGCTAGAGTCAATCTGTTCTGACTGCCTAGTGCATTTAGGGTTTCTAAGCAGTCCCATACTAGTTTTGAGTTAACTTGCATAGAGTTGACTGCTTTGATTGCCGCCTGGCTATCTGAATAGATTGCAATGGTTTTGCCTTTAAACTCTTGCCTTATCAATTCTTTCACGCCTGAAACACCGTCGCGTATTTGCCTAAGCTCAGTGAGATTCTTGTCTTTGGCTTGGCCCCATGAATACCAGCTCCTGATCCTTCCTCAGTTTTGGAGCTGTCCGTATAGACAGCAATGTCTGCATTGATAGGAGGTCCTTCCTTCCATGCCTCTCTGTCCGTTATACTTATTTTAAAAGTTTTTTCAAAGCTATATTTTGGAATCATGCCATCCGTTGGCATCCCCATGATGGGGTCGCTTTCCAACTCTTCACTTGATATGTATCAATAAAAATTTTGTTGCCCGGCAAATTTGACGAAAAAAACTGCTTCAAAAAAAATTACGAACCCGTAGGACCTTGCCCCTTTTTGCTTTTTTGAGATACAGGCTGTTGAAGTTGGAAGTATCAATTGTTTTTATTTATAACCCCCCTGTATAAGCTTTCATGGTGCCAAAATTCGGTACTGAGGAAGCCCAAAAAGTTCAACTTTAGCTTCTAGGAACTGAAATTCAACTTTAGCTCCTAAGAACTAAATATGTTGCCTAGCAACATACCTATTTTTGTGTCAGTAATAGAAACGTCAATTTAAGAGCTAATTTTGGTATCAAAATGGACGACTTTTGTGTCGGTTGCAGAAAAAAAAAATTATCGGACCTGGTCTAATATAGGAAGGTTATCTGAATTATATGAAATATTTCCTGATTTCGTAGAGACCATGAGGAAATGGCCGTCAGTCATAGAAGTCGACCGAATTTGCTCCAAAGACTATACCATCGAACCAGTCTTGCCAGGAGAGAAACCAGTTCATGTCAAAAGAGGCTCGAGGATAATAGCCCCAATCTACAGCCTGCAACACGACCCCAAGTACTACCCAGATCCAGAGAAATTCGATCCAGAAAGATGGAACGAGCAAAACAAACGCAATATCAAGCCTAACACTTTCACCCCCTTTGGTTTCGGTTCTAGAACTTGCATGGGGGGTAAATTCTCGGTACTGCAGGCAAAAATTTTGTACTATCACGTCCTGCTGAGGTTCGAGATAGTCCCGGTTGAGGCTACTAAGGTACCTTTGGAAGTCGCCAAGATCCCACGGCTGAATGCTGCAGGAGGACTTTGGTTGGGGCTGAAACCTCTTGCTGATTTCTAGTTGTAATGGGCGTTTTGAAACTGACCTCAATAAAAAAATCGTATAAATGTGATTCCTTCTGTTTTTCTCTGAGATACCTAGTACCTTCCTAGCAAACATGATTTATTGATTTATTGGCCGATTTATTTAATCGATGACATAAAGACATCAATACATAAATTTACTTTTCCGTCGACCTCGTATTAACGACTAAGTTTAATGTATATGAAATCGTTCATTAATGACCCCTATTAATGAACGATTTGTCTATTAATGCACGATTGTTTTATAGGCAACCAAACATACACCGCGTGCATTCATTGTTTATGCTATAACTTACGGAATCTGCATTTGAATCGAAAATATGGATTTCATCGAAGATTTTCCGTTAACGGGTTCGCCTTTCCATGTTTCTGACACGATTTTAATCCCTGTTTTCTAACACAAGGAATCTATTTTCTATGTTGATCATTTCGACAAATGATGAATTCGCGAACCAACTTTTCTTCATTGCAGGAGAAATGAGAAATATAGTCGACGGAAAAATTTTGTAACCAACTTGAATATTAAAAGGCGATTAATGATCTCGAACATAAACGAGCTCCCTTCGCTCGCACGTTTAAATATCTCGATCATTAATCACCCTCATTAAAACACTAGTTGGTTAAATAACTATATGAGATTCATTTCATCTGAGTACGAAATTCAATCGTCAATGGTCAAGTGGTCTTTGTCTCAGAAAAGATGCAAAAATAGTGTAATGTTGCTTGGAACTTATTTTTTTCAAAGTAGTGTTTTCGCACGTGTTGATATACAGGCTGATTCACGGTGGATGGCACTTTAGACGTTTCTGGACCGACCTAAAATATTCTCAACGGTGCGACGTTGCCACATATATAGAAAAGTAGCAACAAGATTTTTCCTGGAGTGCTGATTTTCTTGACCTATAACACTCGTGGTCTAGCAGTGATAACTTTTTTTGTGTGGAAACTATTCATAATTGTCGACCAATTTCGGTTTTCATGTCCCTATTCCAACATTTAATTCACTATCGATTGATATTCAATTGAAATAAATACAGGGTGGTTTAGTATGAGGATTTTTGACCACCCTGTATCTATTTCAATTTAATATCAATTGATAGTACGTGAAAACTCAACACACATAGTTTCGACACAAAAAATGTTTAAAGTTGAAAACTCGATTTTTCACACCCTATATATCTGTGTTATCATTCCCGCTAGACCCCAAGTGTGATAGATCGATGAAATCAGCTGTTCAGGGAGAATCTGAAAATGGATTGATATACAGGGTGTCCCATTGAAAAATCAAAGTTGTTGCTACTTTTCAATATAAGTGGCAACGACGCAACGCTGAGAATATTTCAGGTTGATAGAACACAAATAGTTATCCAAGGAGCCATATTTTCAGAATTATGTGAGTTGCGTTCTCCAGCAACCTCTAATATGCCATCCACCGTGAATCATCCTGTATAGTATATTGTGAAATTTGGAGTCAAATCGAATTTTTATTGTTTTCTCAAAAACTAAGCTAGATACAAAGATTACAATAGTCCATTCTAATAAAAATATGAAACTCCATGCAAAGACAACTGAGTAATGAATAAAAAACGATTTTTCATGGCAATATCAATACCTTTTATCTCGAAAACGATGCAAGTTAGGACACATGTTGATATGAATTTCATTTCCAAAAATATCACGAAGAATCACCCCTTGACTTTTTTTTGTGTTATTTAGTTACACCCTGTATAGCAACAATGATTCGTCCATCTAGTAGAAATCATCAAAAAATAACCACCACTTGTGTAATTACTGTTGATAATCAATTGTGATCATTCGTAGAAATACTTTATTCATAATGTTCCCCAGCATAACCTAACCAACAATAACATAATACAAAGTCCTGAAATACAATCATGTCAATTTTTCTTTCTTCCTGCCTTTCCTGATTCTTCCAGGACAAGCTCTCAATAACCTTGGATCGATGATGACTTCGTTGTGTAAGCCTCTGAATACTGTCCCACAACATAACCTCTCTTCCTTCCAATAATTCAAGTCGACGAAATCACTGACACTCACAGACTTACTACAATCTTCTGAACTCACTTTTTTCCTGATCTCCTCACTTGACTTCTCGAAACTGAGGCGCTCAGAACAGTTGACGGATATCAGCGTTGAAGTAGACTCGCTGGTTAGACATTCTTCTGAGATGTAGTCGACATCCACGTAAGTGTTTTCGTCTTTCTCGGGTTCTATGTGGACATTCACTGGAGGTGTTAGTTCGGGAATTGGTGGCTCAGAAGTTTTTTTCTGATACCATAAATGCATTTTGGTTTGGGACAACATTGGTGACGGAAGAATATTTGACAGGTCAGTTATTGGTGTGACAGGTTAGTAGGTATCCATGGTAGGCAGTTTTTGTTTCCATGGATATCTTGGTACAAAATGATTTCTATATTTGTCCTTAGTACACGTTCATCGGAATAATATTCATATTTTTATTTTAAGGAGACAAGGAAAAAAAATTCCAAAAAATCTGGAATAATGATTAAGCTACAGACAATTTGATTTCTATAATTTAAATACTCAGAGAAAATCGAATATTTTGAGAACTGTTTTTAGACTAAAGCATATTGCTCTGTTCAATATTCTTATTTTGGCACATGATGAAATGATAGAATTGCGAACAATAATTGATAAACCATCATAGTTATTTATTCATCAAGGGCGTAAAGTATACAGGGTGTTGCGAAATTCGACCGACAATGCTTGACAGGTGATATTCCTCGTGTGATTTCATAATCACTGAGATAGGGACAAGGTGTTCTATTTGAAATAACCAAGTTGTTGCTTCTTTTCGTTAGAAGCGGCAACGTCGCAGGGCTGAGAATATTTTAGAACAATATCCCCCTCGAAAATGTAGTTGACGTGTTCAGAGTATTTACCTACAGAGCCTCTGTTTAGTATTCAAAGGGCCACTCTGTATAGGCTTTGCTATTTACACGCCTAGGTCCATAAAAGCAAGTTATACCCGAAATACATTCCTTGCACGACCGTTTTAGACATTCATCACCTAGTTTATCGCCCGCTGTATTTTTTTATCGCCCTAGGGAGCTGAAGTGCTACTTTACGCTCGCAAATCTGAGCAATAAACTGCCACTTCACGCCTGGTCGTGTATAAAAGCTGATCACCAACAACGATTTTTATTATTGAAAAGGAATATTCTCAGATATGATTAGGAACATAAAAGAATGGATATATTTATGAAGAGATACATTGAGAATTCGCATTCTATATGTGATGAAGATTGAAGATACCTATCAATTCTTTCTCTATTCAACAGAAAACAACTACTTTCCTGGCTATATGCCACGACGAACATTGAATTACATTACACGATAAGAAATTGAAAACAAAATCTTCTGAAGTAGAGAATTTGCCTTCTCCTTCATATAAAGATATGTATATATCAATTTTTGTGTTCATAAATATATCATCATGTTCATAATTATTCAAGGGGTTCAAACTTGAACGATGGAAGCTTGTTATTTTAATGGACCTCAATCGCAGATTCGTGATTAGGTTTTCTCAATTCAGCATTTCTTTCCACGTCCTGTATGAATGTCAATTTATCATACATCCAAAAACGATATTTATTTTCGAAATTCACCGCCTGGGCTGATATTCAAAATTATTGATTGCATCATATTACATTCATAATCAATTCATTATAATCATTAGTGGATCAATACTCATGACTTATTGAATATACGAAATTTATTTCCCCTGTGTAATCATCAACAAATCAAAAATGAGTGAACGCATTCATTATTCAATATATCACTGCATCACGTGATCGAAAACACTTCCATTAACGACATCCACCAATGAATTAAATAATCAAAGTACCTTGTATTGCTATTTCATCATGGATAATGTTGATCCAAAGAAAAACCCGTGGAAATCTTTGATAGCAGTCCGATTGTTACAAGGGCTTTCCCTGATATTGGGACTATCAGTTCCTAGCTTATATAACTACAAGGGTTTATCAGTGCTTTATATAATCTACGTTATTGTATTAGTTGTGCTCCTGATAACCACATCCCTTGTGAATACAATCTTGAAACATGAAAATTTCTCTGAAGGAACATTAGCTACACAAGTACTAGATATTGTAACAGCTCAAACTTTGTTGGTTGCGAGTGTAGTGTCGATATGCTCTGCTACATTCATCAAGAGAAGAAACATCGTGAAATTAGTGAGAACTATTGAGAGACTAGAGAAGGAGCTACAAGCAAAATGTGAGAAAGAACTAGAATTTGAAGCGAACAAACTAGCAGTATTTCTTCAGGCAATGATCCACTGCATCAACATTTATGGCCTCTATGTTAACTTCATTGCTCCAAATTACAGTATTCCTGACCTCATATCAAATTTGCTTCAATACATACAAGAGATCGTGATGTCAGTAGTGATTTTACAGATACATTTCGTCTGTAGCTGTATACAGAGAATGATGAAGTATGCGAATAGGCAAATGTACGAAAAAATCAGACCTGGTACTCAGTATGCTTCTTCAAAACCAATAATGGAAATTGAACCAATATTCTTCGTACGGAAGTATGACGATATATTTCATTTGACAGAGATGGTCAGTGGAATCTACAGTATTCAAATGCTTCTAGTGATCATTTTTATTATACTAGGAAGTATTTTGAAGGTTCATTCTGCGGTAGACTCCACCTCTATGAATCTGCCTACTGCATCCAGAATGTTGCAATACCTAGTAAGTGTGTTTTCATTAATTCAATCGTCCCAGCGAGCACAAACATGTTTGGGGATGTTTTGAAAATGTTGGCATGAAGATGTTATTTTGAGACGTAATATGCACTGACCAAAGAGGTCTTTGAAGGATATTGAAGTATTGTTTTTATTCTTCTGTGGCATTTCTTTGTTTGCCTACTGAGAATTATCTTTGGGATGTTTTGGGATCTTTTAGAAATGTAGGCATGAGGATGTTTTTTTGAGGCGTAATATGCACTTCCCAAAGAGGTCTTAGAAGGATATTGAAAGTATTGTTTTTGTTCTTTTGTGCCCTTTCTTTGTTTGCCCCACCACAACGTCTCATGCTTACGTCACAATACGATTAATTCTGATTTGTTTTCGATTTTGTTCTTCTTGTTCGCAATTGGCATTCGTTAGCAGCGTGATGTAAGCGTGACACGCTGCAAACGAACAGAAAGGAATTTGGTGAAGTTTATTGTGTTAGGAGACTTATTTAGTTTGTAATAATGACCATCAGATGCAAGATGTGTTGTTCGGTGCCTCAGTGTAATCAATATATAAAAGTACGAATTCATCAATACACAGCTTCTCCGCAGTTGCAAAATTATGCATTGTGGAGAACATTTCAAAAATTGGGAAACCTATTTCCAATTATATGTATATGTATATGATTAAGAAGGTAATTTCATATCAAGAAAATATTTTTATGTTCAATCTATTTTTAATGCATTTTTTCATTCAAGGGAAATGGAATCCTAATGCGGAAGTTCATTTTGACAAAACGCTTCAGAAAAGTACCTCGAAAATGGTTTTTTTACAGCGATTTAATGTGCGCAAGACGCGTTGAAAATGTTCTGTTGTGTCCATGAAAAGGCTTTAAAAAGAACTAGGGAGAAGGTAGTTTTGTGACATATCAGGGACATCTCGATAATTGCCGCCTGCGGCGGACATTGGCTGTTCTATAATAATTCTATTCATGTGTAAACAGAACATCGCAGTGGAGGTTTATGTCTCGAAATCTCGTACTTTTAACATCTCCGAGATGTTTTTGTGCTCGCTGGGGTGTTAATATTTCTGAGTCAAAGAATAACAGTATGCTTTCATTTGTTTCTAGACTTTTGGGATCATTTTAACGAACACATGTAGTGATACAGTGATTGCAGTGAAGAAGGCACTCCTTGTATGTCACAAGATCTTGATCAGATTTCCCTTGTATTCTGAAAATCCAGATGTGAGAATGATCAAGAAAAAACTGCAGTTATTGGCCGAAAATATACAGCAATGGAGTGTACAATTTTCAACTGAACTTTTTCCTATTGATAATATGATCATCCTTATTATATTTGAAGCGATAGCTACATATCTGATTGCCAAAAAGTATTACGAATGATATTATACAGTACAGAAAAAGTACCTGAATTGTGATTGTGTTTTTGCAAAGTGTCCTCCATTATTCATCTGATTCGTTCACAAAATTGAGAATTGATACCATAGTGCGTTGGGTTCAAAAAAGTATAAGAATATTGCTATTCTGGCTACCAGCATGAAATTTGGCATACATGATGAGAAATATATAGGAAACAGAAAACCATCGAGACACAAGCTGTGTCTGGAATATTTCGTCCGCCATTTTCTAAAATGGCGGCTGAAAACTAGATTTTTGCTGATATCTCAAGAACGGTGCAAAATTTTGGAAGAGTCCAAACTTATGAAATGAAGAAAATTACAAGGCGGACATTTTTTATCTCAACCATTTTCTTGTGAGGCTGATATTAGAGTCAATAAATTGAATATATTCTGTGGAAAATCCTCGTTTTCTCAAAAAATCATTTGAAATACCAACAATTACCCCTACCTATTCATAAAAATCCTCTTTACACACGTGTTCATCTAGAAATATAGAAGATCTCTTTTAACCCTACAATATACCAGGTGGGGCATTTATCTTGAGGCAAAATTATATCTCGCTTGTATTATAACCCTAAACTTGGTACTTTTAGGATTTAGTGAATCCGGTACATCTGCTAATACCCAAGGTTAGCCTTTTGAAAAATGCAAATATTTTTTATCAGGAAGTGAATTGTCCCAGTCCAATCTTGGTCTGAATCTTTTGACACGAATTAGGTATTAAAGCTGCATAAAAATAAGAAAATACTATCACAATAATAAAATGTTTGTTGACAACAATACCTCTTCTATTATATGAAACCTATGAATTCACGTAAGACGTGAGTTTTAACAAGGTTGAACTAATTCTAATGTTCTTGTGTTTTCACGATATATCTAGTTGTGCTAATCGATGGATTCTGAAGACAGTAGTTGCCAATATCTGCCACTATAGATGTTAAAAAATTGCAATGGAAATAAACAGATACCATAAACATGGTCATATATACAGGAAGTCCCAAAACTCAACGTCATCCTTTGGAAGGTTGATAGTCCAGCTCATGACGTCATGACTGACCAGGATATCACAATATGACCTTCGTAAAATATTTCTAGTTTCGGAGATATTGGCACTTTTATGAATTTCGTGAAAATTGAAACATTTGATCAGTATTTCGAGTGTCACAGGTACGAAACTTCATAGTTTAAGATTCTTA